AAAAAAAAAAAGAAGAGTTGCCCATGTTCCTGAGCCATTTTCACAATCAAATTCTTAATACAAGCTCAAACAGCAGGTCCTTATTTTCATTTTGCGTGGGGCCCAGCAAATTCTGCAGGTAGTTTGAACACCTGCTTGGAGTAACTTGGGCTCAAAGCATCTGGGTTCGTATCTTGTCCAGTGTTCACGTCCTGGGAGAGAAGGCAGTCGGGGCTCAGCTCCCCAATCCGGTGAGCAAACCCCTGTCTTAGCCTGCTGACATGCAAGCCGTGTTCGGCCACGCTTTCAAACGCAAGTGAGCCATCAGGAAAAAAGTAATAGGATTGTCCAAGGATCAGATCTGCTGGTGGGTAGATACCGAAACAAAAAGCAATGACCCCGGTGACGGCTTCCAGTTCTTATCTCGGCACTGCCTGAGTTTTTAAAAGAAATAATTAACAGACCTGTCCAATTACTGGTTTTCCACTCGAGGGTTTTAGCTCTCATTATCTCTACTTTTTTCTTAGGGCCCCTCACAGAGAAGTTGTTGGGGACTACTTGCTAGGAGATGATAGTGGAATTCAACAGGAGAGAAATCTCTCTCTCTCTCTGATTTTTGATTCTTTTCATCTTAGAGAACAGCAATGGGAGAACGGTTGGATATTGAGATTTTCTAAAGAGGTCCTGGTCAGGCTGATATTCAGAAAGGAATTTAGTGGCGTGGGGATGTGGCATTCCCTCCACGTATTTACTGAGTCCCTCCTTGTGCCACTCAGAGCTTTGGTATTAATGATGTCTTTTCCTCGTCTAGGGGACGATTTAAACTTAGAGGATGCCCTCGGTGGAGGAGGAAACAGTGAGTATAATGGTCTTTTCAAAGAGCTGTCTCTTCTTTTTTTTTGGCCGGGGCTGCGTTTGAATCTGCCACCTCCAGCATATGGGGCCAGCGCTCTGCTCCTTTGAGCCACAGGCACCACCTGAGCTCCATCTCTTCTGAGTGATACCTGGGAACACTTTTTACTGAGCAAACCTAAGGAATAGAAAAATGTATGGTTTTTCTTATTGTCGTAGCTGGGATTTTGTTTTTTCTTCCAAGTGTGGCTTGTTTTTCTTTTAAAACTCTTGCAGTCTTTGGAATGACCTAAGTCAACTGTGCAACCCCCTGGCAGGACTGGCTTCACGGTGGGTGGGTGGGGCCTACATGGTTATAAGGAGGGTTTGCTGGTCTGGTGCTGTCATCTAGAAATTCTTAATACAAGCTCAAACAGCAGATCCTGTATTTTCATTTTGCGTGAGACCCTGCAAATTCCGCCGGTAGTTTGAATACCTGCTTTAGTTTTGATTCAAAATGAAGTTAAGTAGTAAATTGGCTGGCTGAGCACAGTGGCTCACACCTGTCTCGTCATGCCAGCACTCTGGAAGGCCGAGGCGGGAGAATCACCTGAGCTCAGGAGTTTCAGACCAACCTGAGCAAGAGGGAGACTCTGTCTCTCCTAAAAATAGAAAAATTAGACGGCCGTTGTGGCAGGTGCCTTCCCAGCAACTTGGGAGGCTGAGGCAAGAGGATCACTTGAGCCCCGCAGTTTGAGGTTGCTGTGAGCTTTGATGATGCCACGGCACTCTACCCAGGGCAAAAGAGTGAGACTCAGTCTCAAGGAATTAAAAAAAAAAAAAGATACTAAATTGGTGGGAGGCTATGCACTGGCCTGTCCCCACTATAACCAAGAACAGCCTCCAATTTCTAACTGTTTAATAAACTGCCTGCGTTAAAGAACGTTCTTCTTAGCAAAGTATCACAAAAATGGAAAAGCAAGTATTCAGTATCCTCCACGGTAATGCGATACCAATAGATGAACAATTCCATGCCCACTCCAGAGAAAACGTGATTAAATTCAAGGGGGGAGGGGAAGAAAAAGGGGAGGGGGAGGAAAGAGGGGAATTGGTGAGTTCCCACCTAACTTAGGGCACAATGGAGGGGTCCACAGCACACCCACTGTGTGAATGGCTCAACTACAACTTGGAACTTTGCCTAAAAAATAATGTAACCTAATCACTGATACACTGTATTAATCTGAAATTTAAAACAACCTACCTGATGGATACGGATGTTTCATGCTCTTTGCTACAAAATATTCCTAATTGTACCCTCGTCCTTTATTGACAGATGACCCAGTACCACCGAAACCCAAGCCAAATCCGAACCCCAGCAAACCGGATTCCTCTGGTAAGAGCCTCTCACTGGTGGGTCCCCTGTGAGTCCCTGTTCATAATACTTCGAGTATTATAATACTCATAGTACTCATAATACTTTGAGTATCATAATACTCAAATAAATTTTGAGGTGACAGGAG